CACACAATGTTGGTGAGTTTGCAAAGCTTATCCATCATGATTCCCTGCTTTCTGAATGAGAACTGTTTGGAAACACGCAGTTGTTCATACACGGTTATTGGTGCTATTTCACACTATGGTCAGACCGTCAATTCTGGACACTACAGGGCCATGCTTTACAGTGCTTCGGAATCATGTTGGTACATCACTGATGACGGCTCTCGGGCCAAAAGGGCCAAACACAGCGACATGCAACACCTTTTCAGAAATGCTTACTTGATTTGGCTGAGAGCTGAGGGTTGATGCAGTTTACGGCTCACTGGCAAGCGCGGGTGTGCAATCCTCGCTGGACGCAGGAGGTTGTGCATGCTGTCGGGGATGTGGCTCACCACTCCTACGGGCACCCGTGCTCTCTGCCGCATGTCGCGCCGGACGCGGTGCGCATGCTGAGTGACGGAGCTGCTAGGGTAGGGCTTTGGGTTGACTGTAACAACAAGCTCAGTCTTCCCTGTAGGGGTACGTACACTCGTACAGTAGCTTTCGTACAGCTCTTTCGTACAGTTTTCTTGCATTTGATTTCGGACTGAAGTCGTGAAATCAGTGCTCGCTTAGTGCTTCGGCACGGGGCGCTTTTTGTGCTTGCTAGGTGCTACGGCACGGGGCGCAAAGCTTGCAGCCTAGAGCTGCCGTGTGACACACGTAGGCTTACGCCAGGCGACCTTCAGGACGCTGCGCAGTCAAAAAAAGCTTGGCTAACTCACTTGTCGCTAGGGCATACGTGCCGGACTTGTTGAGCACTGTCTAACAGTGCTACAGTAGGGGCCAAGCGTCCACAGAGACGCCAGGTTGCGAAGACCTGTAGTGCCTGAGCTAGGCGACCTTCGAGGACGCTGCTGGTGAAAAAAAAGCTTGGCTAACTTGTCGTGCACCGTGCACCTGTGCGGAAACCATTGACCCGCATTCAGTGAACATCATTGTGGCCGGGGTCCTGAGGCGATGCAGAACACTCCGGAAGTCAGGGAGGGACGCACACTTGCTCCTCCGTACAATCGATCTGCGAAAAGCATATAAGCAGCTTCCTTTGTCGGTGCGTGCCTTGGAGGATGCATATATGTGCGTTCTCAACCCGACTACGGGTGAGCCTGAGCTCTACAGAGCCAGGTCTTACCGTTCGGTGCAAAGCTCTCAGTACAGGGCTTTTGTCGCGCGTCTGGAGCAATTTGGGCTGTGGGACAACCCCTGCTGCACATGCATTGGTCTGTCTTCTTTGACGATTATGTGGTCGTGGCCTCGCCCGAGGAAAAGGGTCACCTTGATCTTGTGTTGCGGTCGTACTTTTCCTTAATCGGCTGGGAAACATCGGACGAAAAGGACGATGGGTTCAAAAGTGTGGCAAAGGCCTTAGGAGTAGAGTTTTGCTTGGACGAGATCCACTTGGGTTTACTTCGGGTGCAGAACACAGAGGCCAGGAAGCGTGAGCTCGTGTCCTCCATTGAATCCATTGTGCAGCAAGGTGGGGCGCACGCCAAGGAACTCGAGTGCTTGCGAGGCCGTCTTCAGTTCGCCGAGTCACAGGTGTTCGGTCGGGGTGCGGCCCAACGCATGCGAGCCATCTCAAAAGCAATGAAGCTTTCGGGTTTTGTTGTTCTTGACGATTCCTTGACTGAGGCCTTGCTTTTCTTGAAAAACCGGGTTTTGCACGGGGATGCAAGGATGATCAAAGCCTGTGATCGCCCCACCTATCACTTGTTCACGGATGCTTCCTATGAAGCAGACGTGCCAGCAGGTCTTGGGGGCATCCTTTATAGTGATGGGGGTTTGCTTCTTAGGTGGTACTCCGAGTCGGCTGACGCAGATGTTTTGGAGGCCATAAACAAGGAGGGCAAGCAAGGTCTGATCTACGAGTTGGAAGCTTGTGCAGCGGTGCAGGGCGTAGTACAACTTTGCAACTCCTTGAGTGACTGCAACCTCATTTGCTACTGTGACAACGAGGCCGCCCTCGCGGCCCTCATCAAGTGTGCCTCCGAGTCCCCGGTGGTAGCATCGCAGATGAACAAGCTCAGCATGCTTGAGGATGAGAGAGGAATCAGCATATGGTTCGAGAGAGTGGAGTCATCCGCAAATCCTGCCGACGACCCTTCACGCTTCGTGCTTGGAAAGCTTCCCACTAACTTCAGAGTCCGTTGGATTCCAGGCGAAGAGCTGTTGTTCTAGCGGCATCTGATCTTGAATGGGGAGTGGCATCATCTGCCTTTTACTTACAGGATGTTTTCACCTTGCGGGAGAATGCCGGAAACTTCTTTGCTGGATAATCTTTAGTTCTGCCAATTTTGGAACATCGGCCACGAATGTGGAACCGGAGCAATCAGTCTGCACCCCTCGCTCTAAAAAAAGTTAGTGCCGTGCGAGTGCTTCAACTTGTCGTGAGTGCAGTCATTGTACATGTGCTTCATGCTTCTGTGAGCGCGCTTATCTTGAAAACAGAACCAAATAAGAACAAACTCTCCCGAAGGGGGATGTTTTCTTATTTGATTGTTTTCACGTCTGAAAAAGTGTTTACAATTCTCCATGCGCACGGATTTTCTGTCATGCTGTGCTGGAACAGTTTATTGCATGACATGTTTGGTTTTCTCACGGATGCTTTACCACGCATGTCGATGGTATATGCAGTTTTGCTTGCAGGCGTGAGAAATTTTTTGTCCCACCCGCCCGCCCTTCTGGGGAGTGGCATCATCTGCCTTTTACTTGCAGGATGTTTTCACTTTGCGGGAGAATGCCGGAAACTTCTTTGCTGGATAATCTTTAGCTCTGCCAATTTTGGAACATCGGCCACGAATGTGGAACCGGAGCAATCAGTCTGCACCCCTCGCTCTAAAAAAAGTTAGTGCCGTGCGAGTGCTTCAACTTGTCGTGAGTGCAGTCAGTGTACATGTGCTTCATGCTTCTGTGAGCGCGCTTATCTTGAAAACATAACCAAATAATGCGATCTGCCTGGTCGGCTTCTGCAGGCCAGCGTGTCGAAGGACTTGACGTCCGCGTTGAGCGCGTCACACCCAGCAACTGCTGGGCTCAGCTCTTGAACTCGGCGACACTGTCTACCAGACTCGCCGTTAAAACCCACACGCGCCTTGAGGCACATTTCTAGGTTTAGTATGCTTACGCCAAGCAAAGCTAGTCCCTACAGCAGTGAGAGCTAACAGCACTTTTGAACACTCCTCGCAACCAACTGTTCACCACGCGCTTGTCACGCAGTGCAAGACTTGAGCCAAAGTGAAACGAGGCACGGCCAGAGACTTCAGCACACTCACTTCCGTGACAAGTCCTAAGGACTCCTAACGGCTTCTCTGCACTGGTAACTCTGCTCAGTGGCCAAGGTGTTCCCCGGACTTCGTCTAGAAGTCCGCAGTCACAGCCAAAACACTGAAAACACTCTGATGTTCACCATGCTTCAGGAAAACTTCAGGGAAACACCGCTCTTCGTGAAAACTCGTGAGGAAAACCCCAGTTGGACACGCTTCTACTGAAAGACACTTTCCCAGTGGGGTGAGACAGGAAGCGTGAGCGCAGCGACCGACAGGCAGAAAGCTTCTGAAAAGCACCAAGCTTGAGTGCTTCCAGAAGCAAGACTTGAACCACTGGGTGAAGGGGGGAATCTTTTTGAATTTGGTGCCATTTTGGCTCTCTGTTTCCAGGGACTGGAACGTGTGCAGCCAAGGAGGCTGTGACTCTCAGCATGCTTGTCCTTCCAGCCAGATGTTTGAAAGCCTGGGCATGCGAAGGCACCGAAGGAGGCAACTGCAGTGGTAGCTGCAAAGAAGACAGTTGCGGCCGCTCAGCTTCAAGTAAACCGGAGACTCAATACATCGACAAGAGCGGGTGGGCGATGCGTTGCTGAGGACTACCAGCCTGCGTATCAGGCAGCCACGGAAACCAGAGATGCGAAGAAGGCGCCTTGCCCTTCAAGGACAGCGACAGATGCCTGAGGTCACGAGGTGGCAGGTTTCTGGCATGGGTGGATATGGGCTCCAGCTCGGTTGTGCCAGGGCATTCGTTACACAGACACTGTTACACGCTCTGCCAATCCAACACTGCTGGCTGCTGCCCGAACCTTCCTTTTGAGCATCAGGCTCGACTCGTGCAGCACTGGCACCGGGGCTGGAAGCATTTCAGGAACACCATGTATGCACAGCTTCAATCGCCTCATCAACCGGCTGAGTACTGTAGAGCAAGCTTGAGGTGACAGGAGCAGATCGATCGGAGACAAAGCACGCCTGGCAAACTTTGCACACTCACAAGCAAACATGCACACACACACACACAAACACCGCAACGTGCTTCATTGCCATGCGCGCCGCTGACAGCATGTCGTTGAAGCCGTGCAGCTTCGGTGAGTGCCATCCGTGCTGGGAGAGACTCGGCCGAAAAGACAGGTTCCAGCTCCCACGGACAAGAAGAGGCAGCACGGCATGATGTGCGAACGGAGCTCAGGTGCAACAGTCTTCGCAGGGAGAACCACGCCCTTCGCAGTCACAACGAACAGCTGTGCAGAGCGTTTCTCATCCGCGGTTGGCTCGATTCGTGGCCCTTGCAGTGTTCGTAAAACAACTTTAGCAGGTTGGTGTTGCCCTTCCCCTTCCTCGATAGGGCTTCAAGCAGGTAGACAGGTCCCATACAGCAACATCTGTTCGACACATTGAAGGTACCACCGGGGCTTGTGAAGCTTCAGCTGTTGAGGGACATGCCATGCGTGAACGTGTCGAGTAACGTGTCGGACGTGTGTAGCCTTTTGTCCCCTAAGGCTTTGCATCCAGGGCCAGGAGCTTGAAGAGGTCAGGCGGCTGCTGCACGACAGCAAGATGTGACTTGTCGGAAAGCGTGTTCAAGTCTGCGGGAAGTTGCCAGCGATATTTGATGCTCGTGTTTGGTTCTGGCAGCGACAGCTGGTCATACTGTGAATTGAGTGTTGTGCTCATTCCTGTTGTGCATGATCAGCTTCGCGGCTGATGTTCTGCATCGGGTGAATGCAGCCCAGGTCTGCCAGGGATGAGTCCGGGAGGCTCGTGGCTGACGGGGAGACGCATGTTGAGATTCTGGATCCGACAGCCCCGACATGCCCACAGTCGCAGCTTCGCCTGCAGCATAGACTGGCTCGAGTGCTGCACTCAGCTGCGCAACGACTCGTCCGAGGACGAAGCGAGACAGCGACATTTCTTTGACGAGCACCAGCGCTTCTGGAGGTTCTCATGGACAGGAGCCTTCGGATGCCAGAACCGCAATCACAGGGCCAATCGTGTTCTGCAACCGCTGTGCTGCTTGCCGAAAGGAGCTTGCGGAGTCGTCGGAGGAAGAGTCTTCAAGCAGCATCAGTATTATGGAGCATGTCTCTTCAATTGAGGAGTGGCCAAGCTCTTTCTGTGCTCAGGTCGCTGCCAACAAAGCGCCAAGCCAAGGCTTGCCTGTCCCTGTCCTCACGTCCCCTGCTGCTCCGGGTTGCACCGGGTCAGTGCTGGCTCCGGCATTTGTCGAGTGCTTGCCAGGCGTTTTTGAACAAGAACGAGCTCGTGGCCTGGATGCATGGGGAGACGCTTGCCCTGCAAGTTATCGACTTGTGTGAAGTGACCTGATGCGCTTTCCACCCTGTTCGCACACTGTGAGGGTCGGCTTGATTCAGGGGTTGTGACATTTCTGCAGGTTCGTGGAGGAGAGGTGCCTCGCTGCAGATAAGTCACACAGGTCTCCAGAAATTTCCGAGCTGCTGTCTGCCAGTCACCGGAGGTCCATCATGGATTTAGACCTGGAAGAGCTCATGACTCCGAAGTACCCTGGCCGAGAAGCGCATCACAACAAGCACATTCCGCATTTCTGCAAGGTACACCATGTCGGGTAACCCAATCGTTCCATAAACTTGCAGTGTCTCCACATAAAGTGGACAGTCGGCAGTCGGTCTACCCTTTGACTTTGACCATTGTGTCCCGAATATGTCAAAGATACTGAAGCAGCGAAGCATCCCACTCAGCATCTATTTTGAGGCCTAGGCCTTTCGATGACACTTGAATGAAAGCCATGCCTTAGGCTTCCTAGGCCTTTCGATGACACTTGAATGAAAGCCATGCCTTATAGGCTTCATGCAAGACGTTGCTGCGAGGTCATCACCAAAAAAGTGTAGAAGCTCGCTGCCTGGAAACCCTTCCGATGCACTGCCTCTCCATCGGCTGGAGGCTTAGAGAGGAGGGCTTGGGAAGATGCTGCAGACCCATCCCGACCTCGCTGGTAGTAGTCGAAGCTCCTTTGGAGACAGGAAGCTTTTCTCCAGAATTTCCCGTTACCCAAGCTTCACATCTGAGCCTTTCTGCACAACTTCGCCGGTTTCAGGCAGTTGCATGGGCCAAGGTTTTGGGGAGAGGCGGAGACCCAAAGTGGGACGACGCCCTTCGAGGAGGAGCAGCAAGATCAGCGACTCGGCTGATGGTTCGCATTGGTTGGTTCTCGGACTTCTCTGAGCTGGGTAACGACGAGGGGCCGAGGCAGCAGAGAGGGAGCTTTCGCACGTCATGCGGACTGTCCACGCTCTTGATCTGCCCGACTTTGCAGCTCGGGCCGTTTGCTCAACTTGAAGGTTTTCAGGTTCGGGCAAGCGGGGCCAGTGCCCCCCCCTCCCCACCCGCGCACCCTTCTTGGTGCAATTGGAGATGCCCTGCGTCCTGAACTCGTGCTCCAGGTTGCTCCTGCTCCACCCCAGTCTTTGTTCAGACGACGGCAGGGAATTGAGGTTAATAGGAGTTTTACGCACACAACGTGCAAGTCATGGGTTCAGTCTGTGTGCCAAGGCGCAGACAAGAAGACAGCGTTGAGCCTTCACCTTGTCAGAGTGCTTGTGGCAATGGCAGCAACGACTCTCCGAAGGACGCGCCCAGAGTGTCTCACCGACAGTACTTGGAGCCGCTCACCTGTAGGAGCCTCCAGACCCTGCGCCGTGCCACAAGGCATCCTGCTTGCATCAATTAGACTCATAGAGACTGCTGAACACATTCCCAGAACTTCGGTTAAGGCCGAGATGAGAGACGACGAGGTGCCCAGCAACAGGGCCCCGGGGATACAAGTGCGACAGGCACACATCCGTGTTGTCTGCCTCGATTGAAAGGAAGATCTGCCTGGAGCGCTCCGGGCCGCAGCGGGCGAGGGGACCTCAAGCTCAATTGAGATGCTGCTTGGGCCGCACAGTGGGTTCGCATGACCAGAAGTTCTGCAATTTGTTGTAGCCTGGTGTCTTCGAGCTTTTGCCCTGATAAGAAGCGCATGTCTCTTCAATTGAGGAGTGGCCAAGCTCTTTCTGTGCTCAGGTCGCTGCCAACAACGCGCCAAGCCAAGGCTTGCCTGTCCTTGTCCTCACGTCCCCTGCTGCCCCGGGTTGCACCGGGTAGTGCTGGCTCCGGCATTTGCCGAGTGCTTGCCAGGCGTTTTTGAACAAGAACGAGATCGTGGCCAGGATGCATGGGGAGACGCTTGCCCTGCAAGTTATCAACTTGTGTGAAGTGACCTGATGCGCTTTCCACCCTGTTGGCACACTGTGAGGGTCGGCTTGATTCAGGGGTTCTGGCATTTCTGCAGGAAGTCACACAGGTCTCCAGAAATTTCCGAGCTGCTGTCTGCCAGTCACCGGAGGTCCATCATGGATTTAGACCTGGAAGAGCACATGACTCCGAAGTACCCTGGCCGAGAAGCGCATCACAACAAGCACATTCCGCATTTCTGCAAGGTACACCATGTCGGGTAACCCAATCGTTCCATAAACTTGCAGTGTCTCCACATAAAGTGGACAGTCGGCAGTCGGTCTACCCTTTGACTTTGACCATTGTGTCCCGAATATGTCAAAGATACTGAAGCAGCGAAGCATTCCACTCAGCATCTATTTTGAGGCCTAGGCCTCGATGACACTTGAATGAAAGCCATGCCTTAGGCTTCCCAGGCCTTTCGATGACACTTGAATGAAAGCCATGCCTTATAGGCTTCATGCAAGACGTTGCTGCGAGGTCATCACCAACAAAGTGTAGAAGCTCGCTGCCTGGAAACCCTTCCGATGCACTGCCTCTCCATCGGCTGGAGGCTTAGAGAGGAGGGCTTGGGAAGATGCTGCAGACCCATCCCGACCTCGCTGGTAGTAGTCGAAGCTCCTTTGGAGACAGGAAGCTTTTCTCCAGAATTTCCCGTTACCCAAGCTTCACATCTGAGCCTTTCTGCACAACTTCGCGGTTTCAGGCAGTTGCATGGGCCAAGGTTTTGGGGAGAGGCGGAGACCCAAAGTGGGACGACGCCCTTCGAGGAGGAGCAGCAAGATCAGCGACTCGGCTGATGGTTCGCATTGGTTGGTTCTCGGACTTCTCTGAGCTGGGTAACGACGAGGGGCCGAGGCAGCAGAGAGGGAGCTTTCGCACGTCATGCGGACTGTCCACGCTCTTGATCTGCCCGACTTTGCAGCTCGGGCCGTTTGCTCAACTTGAAGGTTTTCAGGTTCGGGCAAGCGGGGCCAGTGCCCCCCCCTCCCCACCCGCGCACCCTTCTTGGTGCAATTGGGGATGCCCTGCGTCCTGAACTCGTGCTCCAGGTTGCTCCTGCTCCACCCCAGTCTTTGTTCAGACGACGGCAGGGAATTGAGGTTAATAGGAGTTTTACGCACACAACGTGCAAGTCATGGGTTCAGTCTGTGTGCCAAGGCGCAGACAAGAAGACAGCGTTGAGCCTTCACCTTGTCAGAGTGCTTGTGGCAATGGCAGCAACGACTCTCCGAAGGACGCACCCAGAGTGTCTCACCGACAGTACTTGGAGCCGCTCACCTGTAGGAGCCTCGAGAGCCTGCGCCGTGCCACAAGGCATCCCGCTTGCATCAATCATAGACTCATAGAGACTGCTGAACACCCAGAGCTTGCCTCAGGCATGCAGCTCCGAGACCGAGATGAATGATGACGAGGTCCCCAGCAACAGGGGTCGGGGATACAAGTGCGACAGGAACTCATCCATGTTGATCTCTTTGATTGAAAGGAAGATCTGCCTGGAGCGCTCCGGGCCGCCGCGGGCGAGGGGACCTCAAGTTCAATTGAGATGCTGCTTAGGCCGCACAGTGGGTTCGCATGCCCAGAAGTTCCGCAATTTGTTGTAGCCTGGTGTCTTCGAACTTTAGGCCTGATCCGATCGATGCATCTAAATCGGCTTCCGATGCTGAGAAGGCACGGGCTCGCTCTCCACTCGCCTCTTATCTCTGCTTGGTCTCTGTCCTTTGCCATGATCCTGATCCTGGTAGATGCTTGAGCATGTGGGCGCGAGGATCCTGCCGATCTTTTTCACCCGGCATGCGATGTCTTGTGACTCGGCTCGCACGTGCCGAGACAAGGGTACAACCGCTGTGAAACCAGCATGGCGGACACCACGGTCGCTCTCTTTTTTTGCAGGCCTGCTCTTTTGGAGTACTTCTCCGCCACGTGTCTGCAGTGACAGATGCTCTCGCGAAATGCCCTGAATGGCGGCAGTACTCGCGACGCCTAGCGATGCTGAGATGCCGGCTCTTGCCTCTAGGTGCCAGACATCCTGGCCTGGCGTGTGACTTCCAAGCAGACTCGGAGTCCCGAGGTGGGGCCAAGTGCACATGCGGAAAGGACTACTCATCGAGAGAAGAATGCACGTTGCATGAAGCTTCAATTGAAGCGCCCTGTCGAGATTTCCACCGAGGTCTTGTTACGACACGTAGCCGAGCTTGGCAGGTTTGACACGCCGAGTCCTTGGAGCTGTCTTGTTTCCCGGCTCGTGGCCGTCCGCCTGCAGTGCGGTGGTAGTGATGGGCACATCCTGAAAAGTGCAGGTCCGCCTCGATCATCGCATTTTCTGATGCAGTGACTCGCACCACATCACCAGACTCCGAACAATTTCCCGACGAATTTCCCGACGACGTCGAATGTCAGAAGCGCTTCGATTGCCACTTGACCTATGGTTCAGCGAAGTTCAATTTTTGGAGAAACTTCTGCAGGAAGTCTCCTTGGAAGTTTGCCCAGTCGCTTTGTTCTGCATCTCAGGCCAGCTCTGGTGCGTGATGCTTGCGAGAAGTGACTCCACCCATTTTGCTGAAGACTACGTCCGCCAAACCGTGGACAACAATCTCACTGTTTTGTTTTCTCATTGCCTGGACTCGGATGAACGCGTGCGCGTCTCAGCCCACTATATAGTCCTGCAGCATTCCGTGCATGGCCTGGGGTTCGTGAAGGAGCTGATCACAGACACATTGCTCAGTCAGATGCGAGACATCTTGACCGGCACGGAGATAGAGGCGACCTGGAAACGCATAAAGATGTACATGCCGCATCTGGATTCGCTTCTGCGATCCCTGACGCAGCATCAGCATCGGGAATGGATGTCTTTGCTTGTCAACGTCCTACGCCGCCTGCAATCAGCTTCAGCTCGACACAGGGCTGCTCGCCAGAACTTGGTGATCGATCGTTTGAAGCTCCTCTGGCTTGCTGCTGGCGATCCCAACCGAACCTATGCAGATGAGAAGCGGCAGCTCCGGGCCATGGCGGACTCCCTGAATGTCGGAGACAGGGATGATCAGAAGACTAAGCTGAACCTCCAAAGCCTTCTGCACTGCTAACGTTTGTCTCACCAACCGCACAATGCAGTCTGCACCGCAGAAACAATGCCGTGCAAGAGTGTAGCAGATCCGAGCAGCTGTGTTGCCCTTGGGGGAGATGTAACTCCTGTCAGTGATGTTGTCGAGGGGGACCCAGCATAGTTCATTTCGAGCGCCAAGGTCTGTCCACGAGAGTGACAACCCTTTTACGGTGCTGGCCGGCACCTTCGCAGCTTTGTTGGCAGTGAGGGTATTTCGGCCCGCGGGATCTGGAGGCCAGAAGCGAGACAAGCGACGACGCCACGGACAAGGAGATGCCAGCGGGGAGGCAAGGGAGATGTTTGCAGTGAATGGCATGCACGACAGGAGGACGAGCTCTGCAACCATGGCGAGGTCTGTCTGTTGTTCCTGCTGCCAGAGTGGCTCAAAGCATTTTCAATTGTCTCCACGCAGGAAGGAGATCAAGCCGAAGAGGGAGAAGAGGAAGAAGTTGAAGAAGCTGAGCTGGAGCCTGCCGCTGCCGAGGCTGACCAAATGCTCCACTGACGGCAGTTGAGAAGTGCTAGGTTCACCCGACATGGTCCAGGGTGGCAAGGGACGGCTGAGGGGTAATTTCATGCTTTTGGAGGAGTTCCTCGAAAGCGTCAACGATGCGCAGGCCTTGATTGCGTTGTCATGCCGGCAACGTGCAGTAATCAGTAGTTTCTTCCGTCGTGCGAAGCAGCGTCGCTGAACACTTGTACCTTGTGATGTGCTGTCGCATGCTGCATGGTCCCAATGGTCCCCTGTCGTAGGAGGAGTTGGAGGGCCAGGGGGATGGAGAGGCTCGGGCATTTGCCAGCGTTTTCATCTTTAAGCTTGGGACGTTGAACCGGAACCGGAGTTGCCTTTGCCTGCGAGCTGGCCTGCGATCGATCTTGACTGATTCCGGCTACGAGTATTTCAGTATTTCCTACACTTTCCATTTGCCTTCCGTGATCCGTGGTAATGGTCCGCAGGTCCATGATGAAGAGGAAGCACCTGCCATTGAAGAGCTTTCGGTGGAGGTCAGCCCAGCACACCCCACGTCGGAAAATGGGCGAATCAGAGCCGTGGTAGCAGGCAGACGTGACTCAGCTCGAGCAGGATGAGCAAGCTCCAGATCCGAATGTGGAGGCCATGGGTCGCCTAAACAATTGCCAGTACTATTTGGGGGGTTCCTTGTTACATTTATCTTGCTATGGGCCCCAAAACCCTATTCTAATTTCTAATTTCTTATTATTCAGGCCCTTATATTAACTAGCAGCGGTCTTTTGGATGACTACAGTAACTTTCAGCCTCATACCAAGAAGGCAAGAGAAAGCAACACCGAAGCGGCGCTCACTAGACAGACCAGACCAGAGCAAAACATGTTGAACTTGCTCGTTTCATCTTCTTAGCTCCGGATGACGAAGCGGCAGAGGACATAGGGCGAGCTCGTCTTTCCAGCCTAGTTGTTCAAAGCATCGCGGGGAGTCATTTCAACACAGGTTTCTTCAGGACTTTGGTGCGCTTGTGCGACTCCGCGGTCAAAGCGATGCATCGAGCCATCGCACTCGCCTGGCCGTTGAGCCTGTGGAAGATGTTGCCGAGGAGGTAAATTCTGAGGAGGTGGATGCCAAGGATTTTCGCAGCTAAGAATTAACAAAGGTGGTACATGGTGGTGCAAAATCTGCATCTTGCATCATAGCTGTGCGAGTGTGCAGTTTCTTGCCGGACGGGAGCAGGTAGCCTCTGAAGAGCAGGACACAGAGGCGGGCTCCGCACATCTGGATGTTGTAGGAGGATACGCAGTTTCTGAAAAGATGCATGAGTAACTCAGGCCCTGTAGAGTACCCATATAGCGCTGCCTCTCCCCCACAGATGCTGCGGTAGCAGCTTCAAACGGAGGAGAGCAGCCCAGAGGGATGAGGTCGAACCTTGACAATCCCGCAAGACATGTCATGTCGATTCGCAGGCCGCTACCGAGCACGTGCAGGAGGACACAGCGAAGGACTACCGCCGCGTTGCTCATGAGATGGACCTTGCCGATTCGTGGCATCGTGGCGTGGCGGGTATTTGAGATTTCTGCTTGCAGGATGTGGAGGGTGCAGAGAAGGAGATGGAAGCGGAGGAGGCAGGGGATGTGGAAGGAGGTGTTTGCAGTTAAAGGCATGCGGAAGTGCTGGCATCTGCACTGCAAGAGGCTGAAACCGAAGAGGCTGCAGATGCACCGGAGGAGGAAGTGGCAGAGGACCCAGTGGACGTGATCCGTCTAAGATGAGTGTACACGAATAAGGTAACATTGACACACGTTACATTTTTCGAAACGCGCTTTAGAACACGATCTAGGATGAGCTCTTCTGACACCTGAAACTCCCGCAAGACATGTCATCTCGATTCGCAGGCCACTCCCGTGCAGGAGGAAGCAGCGGAGGACGACCAACGTGTTGTACATGACTTTTCGCTTCATGGCAGGGACGTAGTTTCTGCTTGCAGGATGTGGGGGATGCAGAGAGGGAGATGGAAGCGGAGGAGGCAGGGGATGTGGAAGGAGGTGTTTGCAGCTAATGGCGCGCGGAAGTGCTGGCATCTGCACTGTAAGAGGCTGCACCTGAAGAGGCTGAAGATGCACTGGAGGAGGAAGTGGTAGAGGACCCCTTGGACGTGTTGCTAAGCAGTGTGCACGAATATGGTAATATGAACATACATGGACATGTTTTCGGAGCGCGCCTCAGAACACGAGCTAGGATTAGCTTCACTGGCACATCGAACAATTGAAGCTCCTGCAAGCCATGTCATCTCGATTCGCAGGCCGCTCCCGAGCACGTGCAGGAGGACACAGCGGAGGACTACCGCCGTGTTGCGCATGAGATGGTCCTTGCCGCTTCCTGGCGTCGTGGCGTGGCGGGTATTTCGGATTTCGGCTTGCAGGATGTGGAGGGTGCAGAGAAGGAGATGGAAACGGAGGAGGCAGGGGATGTGGAAGGAGGTGTTTGCAGTTAAAGGCATGTGGAAGTGCTGGCATCTGCACTGCAAGAGGCTGAACCCGAAGAGGCTGAAGATGCACCGGAGGAGGAAGTGGCAGAGGACCTGTTGGACGTGATCCGTCTAAGATGACTGTACACGAATGAGGTAACATTGACACACGTTACGATTCGAAACGCGCTTTGGAACACGATCTAGGATGAGCTCTTCTGACACCTGAACATCCCGCAAGACATGTCATCTCGATTCGCAGGCCGCTCCTGTGCAGGAGGACGCAGCGGAGGACGACCAACGCGTTGTACATGACTTTTCTGCTTCATGGCAGGGACGGTATTTCGGCTTGCAGGATGTGGAGGGTGCAGAGAAGGAGATGGAAACGGAGGAGGCAGGGGAAGTGGGGGGAGCTGTTCGCAGGTAAAGGCATGCGGAAGTGCTGGCATCTGCGCTGCAAGAGGCTGAATCCGAACAGGCTGAAGATGCACCGGAGGAGGCAGCGGTAGAGGCCCCGTTGCATGGGACGCTGAATGTCGCTCGATGCCGCAAAAGATGAGCCATAGGAGACTGAAGACAAGGCTATGGAAGCCCAGGAGGCAAGGGGCGACATACGGCGTGTAAAGGGGCAGAATGTTCGGAATACTAAGCAGGTGAGCGGGTCGAAGTGATGATGGCAGCTGCGTCGCCAGGCTACTACCGCAGACTCCCCAAAGGAAGACGTGGTGGAGGACACGCGGAACAGATTCCGTGTTCTCATGATGGATGTGCCAACATTGGCACATCCATCATGAGAACACGGAATCTGTTCCAATGTGGGGATGTTGGCAATCGCGAGGAGAAGGCAGTGGTGGGATGACATGTGTGCCCTGTGCGTGCCAGCTGAACGTGCAGGCCGTGCAGCCAACTCAGGCAGATGCGGAGGAATGCCGCTCTGCTTCTGAGAATGCCACAGAAGATTGGGTAGAAGACGTCTATTTCTGATGGTGTGGGTACCCGTCGCAGCCGAGTCGCAGGACACTGCCACACAAACACAGGCAGCACTGTACAGCGAGGCAAGGGGGGCGACTTACAGCGTGTAAAGTGGCCCACAGGACATTGGTGAAGGCTATTGAAGGCTAAGAGGCAGAGTTTAGGGTACTTTTGCGAGGGAGGGTGCAAGCCAGCACCTTTGCGTCATGACCAATTGAACACAGGAAGAGGTGCAAGAGCTGCTTGCCATGCAGCGCGAGCGACTGCTTCTTGGCGTTAGGGGTGTCCCGCCTTCTCGTCCTCCTCGTCCTCCTCGTCCTCCTCGTCCTCCTCGTCCTCCTCCTCCTCCTCCTCCTCCGCACACACGCATGTCATCACTGTCACTTATCGTCGCACTCACGCCACTGTCACACTTACCCACCCACGGCAGACGCACCCACACCCACACACCAACACACCCACACACCCACACACCCACACACCCACACACCCACACCCCCACGCCCACACACCCACACACCCACACACCCACACCCCCACACCCCCACACCCCCACACCCCCACACACCCACACACACACCCACGCACCCACACACCCACGCACCCACACACACACACACACACACACCCACACACCCACACATGCACACACCACGCACGCACACACACATACACGCA